CCTCACAAACAATTCTAAAAGGTTGCATTGAAAAATTCATATTGTTTTTTTAATACTCCGTTTATTCTTCTGTTTTAAATTTTATAGGGAAATCAATAATTACATGATTTGGTATTTGATACACTCGGAAATTTATGAATTATCTGCACAATACATTGCCTACGCAAGTGAATTTCACAGGGTTTAAAGAATTCTTATATTATTTGTTTTTTTTGCTTATAAATATATTTATTTCTTTTCTGTGTTTGTATAAGTATATAAAGGCCATTCTTGTTTCTTTTGGCATTTAATATTTATCAAACACTGGAGCCTAATGAAAACCAGTGCATTATAACTGTAGTGTATCTCCTTCATAGCTTAAGTTATTTTTTGATTTGTACTAGGCCTACAATAAAAAATATATTTTAGTGATGGGTTAAGGTATAACAATTAAAGGGTTATAAGAGATTAGGGTTAAGGGTTAAAAGTAAAGTAAAAGGTTAGAAGAGAACAAGTATAGCTAGCCCTGGTTTGACCTAAGCCAATAAACTATACAAATGCAAGTGAAACCTTCCCAAAAAAATTTGTAATATATATTACTTATATATTTGTTTTGAAATCTTACCTTAAATAATAATCATTTTTTTTAAATTTCATTGGTGGTGATATAAACAAAGGGGATGTAGCCATTATTCTCTATTCCTATTCCATTGGAATGAAACGTCATCTTTTAAATTAACTTATTCATTCTCAAGACCATGTGCCAAAAATTTTTCGTTACTTATATTTATTAAAGATATGATTTAGAAAGATTAAAATATCCTCAATTGAATATTTTTGCAGCACATCTATATGAAATATGATAAAAATTGGTATCGACTCTAAGCCTTTGTAGAGGGGAATAATAATCGAGTCATTATCATATTTGCATGGTGGAACCTTTCTTTATGTGTTTCTTTTTACGAATTATTTTTTGGTAAAATTTTGACTTTGGATTAATTTTCAGTAGTAATTTATTTGCTAGCGATTTCTAATTTATCAAAACACTTGTTTAATTTGAAATTCAGAACCTGTTAATTAATCTTAGAAAATTATAAGGTATAAAAAGATGCGGAGGGCTAACTTATATCTAAAACCCAGATTTGATAAAAATTTACATGTTAGGTTTTTGTTCCGGCCATATAATGGGTAGGTTAGTGTGTGGTTGTTTATCGATATAAAAAATAAAATGAGAAAAAAAATATATATATATAACTTTTACAAAATATACCTTTAATTTATTCATCCAAAGAAAGTGTATCCCTAAAACAAAAATAAACAAAATACAATTTATTTAGTAAGAGGCTTTAACTCTTACGCGTACGGGTAACTGCTGCCTGCCCAAAAAATGTGTATGATGGTCCTCTTAATTATTTAATTATTTCCCATGTTTTATCCCAGTTAGATAGGTTTTTTTTTTCATGAGAGAACCAAGCGTTGCTCTTTTGTATATATATCCTTGATATTTTTATATGTGACTAGGGCTAGCGCGCTTAATAATCACGTATCACGTAAAGTTAATACATTAAAGTTTATATAGGAAAATATATTAAATTTTTGAAATTGTTTATTTTTTATAATTAATTTTTGTTTTAATAATTTTATAAATTTAATTTAATTATTTCCCATGTTTTATCCCAGTTAGATAGGTTTTTTTTTCATGAGAGAACCAAGCGTTGCTCTTTTGTATATATATCCTTGATATTTTTATATATGACTAGGGCTAGCGCGCTTAATAATCACGTATCACGTAAAGTTAATACATTAAAGTTTATATAGGAAAATATATTAAATTTTTGAAATTGTTTATTTTTTATAATTAATTTTTGTTTTAATAATTTTATAAATTTAATAATAATATTCTAATATATCGCCGGTCTATAATTGGAGTCCTCCACTCGAAATTTTCAAAATTTTTGAGTTTATTTATTCTTCCCAATATATATACAAATAAAAACTAGATTAAAAAAAATATCGATTTTTGCCAAAGTTATCGTTGATTTTCTACATTTTAAACATTTGCCCAAGTAAAATCATTAACACCTAAATTTTATTTTAACTATAACACACACACAAAAAAAAATAAATAATAATAAATCTAAAGAAAGTGAACGAACAATTCGAAATAGGCCCGATCTGGCTTCAGTGCATGGACGGTTTATCTCAAACGGATTTAAATACCGTGATGAATTTATTACCAATTTACACGCAATACGTGAACGATTCAAAAGAAGTTAATTTGATAAAACAATAAAATTAAAAATAAATATAAGTATAATATTCTTTGGATCTTCCCATCGGAATGCTTACCCCGACATTGAATATTTAGATTGGATTTCGCGTCCATTTCAAAAACACTGGTAGGGTTAATAAGCACCTTTTTCATCCTTCCATAGACTTTTATAACAAAAATGAGCTTCGTCCCCATATAGGATTAGATAACTAATGTATCTGCAAAAATAGTATTTAAAGCAAATATTTTTTCAGTATATGTCTAAGGCTATTCGTTTGAACCGCATATTTCATATGCATATTTATATTCGTAAAAGAAACATCTATTTGTGATTAGAAGGGAATGTAGGTAGGTATTAGTTTGTATAACCAGAATATTCGATACTGATTTTTAATTTATGATAGTGTACTCAGAATGTAACGATGTTTCAAATATAATTATAATAAACGATAAAATTACAATTTTATAGTTAAAATGATATTTTCTCAAAAAATATAAAAAGTCGAAATCTAAATGTTATCAATATTATTGATCTTAATATGATATGATGAAAGAAATTGTATATTTTTTTATATATATGACAAAATATCGCCTTAGAACAGTAAAAAAGATATAGACATTTTTTAAAATAAGTTGAACTTTTGTTTAAACAAGAACTTGATTATCATAATCAATATATATCCAATCAGTAATACATTCATAAAATAACACATCAAATCATAAAATACACAAAAGAATTATATATATATATATAATAAATGAACTTTATTTCCCATGAATTATATTAATCTTACAATCATAATTCTTTGTACAAAAACATCCCATCAGCTGGAAGACAAAGCTTCATAAAAAATCTGTGATCTTATCTTACAAATATCATCCACTAACAAAACCTACTATCAAAAGATCGCTTTTGATTGACATTTTATATATAACATTATATATATATGTATATAATAAATATATAACAAAAACACAAAACTACAACAATTTTAACTATAAATTGAATGTAAATTAAAGATTGAATTTATTTAAAAAAATAAAAAGCATATTCGATAAAGTTATCCAAATTTTTGTATCCATCATGTAAATAAAAATGTTAATTCATTGAAAGTTTTTAAAGTCGGTATTATCATATCTTATACAAAAGCGCAGATAGGGTAAATCTAACTCCAACAGACCCAATTGTATAGCCGTAGCATTATAAACACTGCAAATAAAAACGTATATATAATAAATATTAGAAGGTATTTTTTCACGTAATCGCAATGTTAGTATGATTATAACCAATATTTATAAAAAGTTTAAAAAATATATATATAGGCACTAATGAGATAAAAGATTTTCTGTTAATTAGAATTATAAAACTCTAAGTTATAAAAAAATAAAGTATGAAGATATGTTAACTTTACTAGAGTAATATATATATAATTGGAAATTTTTACATCAAAAGACTTGCTAGCCCTACTAGGTTCATTTTAGCCTCCTCCCATATATTAGAAAAATAAGTGAATAAATAGCCCTGGCCGAAAGATGAAAAGAAGAGGATTTATTATTCAAAGAACCATAAATTTAACTATATACAACAAGGGCTTGTTTTCGCTGGTGTGCAATAGATGGTTTTATTACACTAAAAATAAAATTAATTAATTAATGTATTATTTGTTGATAAAAAAAACTTCTAATATTTTGTTGAGTATAATCCTAGTAAAGCATGAAATAAAGCATGTTTGATTGATAAATAAATGTAGATATCTTAATACAGAGTTGTGTAGATTTAGATTTAAAACATTTCCATATTTTTTTTTAATTCGTTTGTATAAATAAAATTATTTTAATGATATGAAAATTATATAAATGTGTTTTTTTTATTGCAAATCATATTATTTTCAAATAAATTAATAAATATGGAAATGTTTTAAATTTAAATCTACACAACACTGTTACTTTGTTACTTTTTGAATATTTATCAAATTTGCAGTTTAAGGGATGTATATATATCAATTATATAATATTAATCCTTTTATAAAATAAAATTAAATAAATTAGATTATAATAATTTTTTATAATTTTTTGAAATTTCCATCATATTTTCATTAATGATGTGTATTATCGATATTTAATATTATTTAAAAAAAATAAATTTGTAAAATTTTTAATAAAATATATAAATTTTTATGTATTTTTTAAATATTTTTTTAAGAAAATAAATATTATATATCTATATAATCATTAGACTACAAATTTGATTATATTATTTATTTATCAATTATGATTACTCAAAATACTAAAAGTTTTTATTTGCAAAAATTATCTTTTTATTTACATTTTATATATTTTTAACCAATAATATTATTTTGAATTGAAGTCCACTGCGCATGTCAGGAAAATCCATTAAACCATATCACCTTACCAACATTTTTAAAGTTAAAATTTTTATCAAAATATTTTTTAATTTTATAAGAATAAAATATAAATTAAACGAATATCTAGTTTTTTACTTCTTTTTTTTTATTTCAAACAACAACTTTTGTTATCTGCTTTTTTGAAGAAAAAAAAATATCGCCGTTACTAAATTCCGTTACTTTTGCGACACTTTACTATACCCCACGATTCATAAATGTATGTATTCGCCTACTGGCATTTTTTTTAAACATTTTTACTAGGAGACTGCAGGTCTTTGACTATAATATACACATTTTTATAACATTCAAAATATAATAATTTTGTTTTTTTTAAGGTGGATAAAATGGCTAAAGATATGATCTCTTATATGAAAGATGATTTGAATACTAAATTTTGGGTGAATTTCCAACTGAAAGAAGGCATAGTTACGAAGGTAATCTTGTTCGAAATTCGTAAAGCTAAAAATAATGATTAATTTATCATTCTCTTTTAATCGGCTCATTAAGCCGATTTTTAGAAACGGCTAACTCAATATTTTATCAGGAAAAAATACTTTGCAAGCCTTAAGATTTTGCTCATAGTCGTCACAAAGGTTTAAACAGCTATTAACGAAATCTCAAAGCTTAGACAGAAGAGAAGAGAAGAGAAGAGAAGAGAAAAGAAGAGAAGAGAAGAGAAGAGAAGAGAAGAAGAAGAGAAGAGAAGAGAAGAGAAGAGAAGAAGAAGAGAAGAAGAAGAAGAAGAGAAGAGAAGAGAAGAGAAGAGAAGAGAAGAGAAGAGAAGAGAAGAGAAGAGAGAGAGAGAAGAGAAGAGAAGAGAAGAGAAGAGAAGAGAAGTTTTTCTGGCTAAAATATTGAGTTGACCGTTTTTAAAAATCGGCTTAAATTGAGCCCTTTAACACACTAATATAAACCTTTCATATTAAAATAACTTCGATTTTATTAAAATTGTAATAACACACACAATCATCAACAATAATAATAAAATTTTAAACAAAAAATTTAGTATTTTTGAGATCATCACTTTCATCCAACAAATACAGTGTGATTTAACACATGCATGAATGTCTTGCATATGCGCATATCGTATAATAATTGTCATAATCTACATTTAAACATTATTTGATTGACATAAGATATTATATAAAGATATATAATCCTTTTTTTTTTGCCTTTTTCTCGAAAGTTTCAGGAGATGAAGGTAGAAGCCGGGAAAACTAAAACGTTCGACGAAATTGACCAAGATTATAAAGATGTAATAAAATTAAATTATTTATAGCCTAACACGCCATTGACTACTTTCTTTAAAATTTTATCCCGTAACTGTTCACGATGAGGAATATAAGATTTTTTTGAGATTCTTGTTGGATTTAGAAACCCGAGATTTAAAGATTCGGCCAAATTTTTCGGATACTGTCAAAAGAAATTTAATATAAGGGAAAAATTTAGTGAGATTAATGCCGATTTCAACGAAGTCTTCTCCTCCCCTATAAACAAGCCTGTATGATGCCAATTAATCCGAGCAAATAAATTGTTTATTTAAAATGTATTAAGATAGTTTTTAACTTACGTTGTTAAATGACTGGCCAGTTCAACATTTTAGCCAGAAAAAAATATGTTTCCTAGGACCTCGAAATTTTGCTAATAGATGTCCCAAACCTTCGTGCCATCTAGAGCCAGAAATCTTTAGGAATCGATCCAATCCATTTAGCAACTCTAATTTATTTTAACTAATATAATATGTCTTTAATATCTTTACTCACATTTATAGGTTCGTGTAATCATTTTGGATTCGATATATTAATATATGTTTAAGGTGTCAAAATGTGATTTTCTGGCAATGTGTTATTTTTAAATAATGAAATTTTAAAAAAAATGGGATTTTTAACCAGAAAATATATTCTTATCATGTTTGGAATCACCTATCTTATAAATTGTAGACAATTTTGCCGTTAATCTTGGAGTCATTTTATAATTTATATAAAAAATATATGGAAAGTTTAAAAAGTTCCAGGAAAGATTATCTCATTAGGATAGGGTATTCCACACAAGATGGCATACATTTCCGGTAAAAATCTTTATTTTTTTAAAAATTTTCTAAAAATCCAACGAAATGCATCGGATAATTTGGACCTGATTTTAGTAAAGAAGCTTTGCAAGACACTACTGAGAAGGCCCTCTTCAGAATCTGCTAAAGTCGGTTTTTATATCGTAATTAAAGCAAATTATTTTTTTTTTGTTTTTTGTTTCTCACATCTTTTAAAGCTGGTTATTAACGATAACGATTCCTACTACAAGAATATCGACGATCTCAAAAAATTCCACAAAAGCCGATTGGCCAAGAAATGGAGAGGCGAGGATATCATAGGACATGATTGGTTAGATTCACTTGCTTTATCAATATATAATATATATATATATCCTTTTCTTTAATCGAGTAAAAATGGGTGAAATTTTTTGATAAACGGTTTGTCAATGAGGGGGTAATATTAATTTTATTCCTTACATATGTATATACGTCGTAAGTTCGGGTTACAACGAAGTGTGTGTCGTTTAAAAAGCCCGCTTTGGAGTCCGATTTTTCAAAAGAGTAACCGGTTAATATTTTTAGCTGATAATTCTGTAAGCATCCAGATTATGGGAAATGGATGTCCAAGCATTTCTGTTCAGCCAATGATGAGCAAAATTTTTAGGGCTTAATAATGATGTTATTTTGGTTCATAATCTTAATAGGGCTTAACACTATAACATAAGTTACCCGAAAATACTAATCTCTAAGTAAATAGAAATCCCAAAATTGCTTTTAAAAGTTGCGGTAATCAAATGTTTTGAAATTAATTAAATAATTAGGAAAAATTAATTAAGTTTGAAGAATTAATTAAGTTATTCAATTAATTAATCATAACTTAATAAAGAACTTTATAAATGGTAAAATTAATTAAAATTAAGTTTAAAGAATCAATTAAATTAATCAATAAATCAATCAATTCGACCTTCAAGAGTCGTGGTATAACTTACTCGTCCTTAGTATAATTATTATAACGTAAGAATTGATAATAATATTTAAAAAAAATCTATTGATTGATTACAATATATTTTATCACTTTTTTTTATAACAATCTTTTCTTCTTCTTTATACATGATTTGCAATGATAATTAAAAATTATTAATCATTCCTTAAACATAAAAACATTTAATTTTACATGTGTAACTTCTACCATAAATCGTAAACATTATAAGTTATAGGGTTGTTAAAAAGCTCCTTATTCCGTCTATTTTTTATAGAAAGGTTCGGATCCCTACCCGAGGGGAGCTTTTTAACAACCGTAGTTATAACTATTCATATTTAACTCTATAATAAAAACTATATAAAATCACTATTTTTTTTTTTTAGATCTATATAATAATCTCAACCATTAATTAGATATATACGATTTACCTTTACTACAAACTAATAATTTTTTTATAAAAAAAATGGAAATTAATTCCGCCTGGCGTGTATTTTTTAAAGAGAAGAGAATATTTTAATTCGTTAAGATCATGTGGTTTCAAGAACTCGAATTTTCACGTGAGGACTTCTGGTATCATTATACCCGCGTGTAACCAACGAAATATAATGTCATAACGAAATACGAATTCTATGGTGTTTCGGAATCTCAATTTTAAATAATTTATTAGGGCCCCCCCCCCCGATTTTTACATTTACGAAAAAATATTAAAAATGTATTTCAAACCGGAAATGCGCTTCAAACCGGAAATGTATTTCAGCGCGTATTTATTACAACCCACACACCGAAAAAAAAATTTAAACGAGACGTAAAATTTTGTGAACTACTAATCAATATTATTTTTTTTCATATTTGATTATGGCAAAATTGTCTTTTAAATTCATAGTTCAGATATATGCCCCTATACATTTTTAGAAATTATATTTTCATAAGGGGGTTGATATATTTTGATTGGATTAAACGTTTCCGTTATGTGATCTTCCAACATTTCCCAACGGTGAATTCATAAACATTAATATAATTTATATAAAAATTAAGCCCGGCCCGGTTCGATTTTCAAGCTTCTTTTTAAAACTCCCCCTCCCCTTCTGCAAAGGATTTTGACAAGTTTTGGACCAAATTTATGGGCCGGGCCTCCAGGTCTCTGATGATTATAAATTCTAAACCTTGTAAAGCTACATCTCAAACTTTTATACCTGTGTCATTTAAAACTTGCAAAATATCATTTTAAATTTATATTATAAATTCGTTTAGGCTTGTTGTCCTTGAATAGATTGATAAAAAAAAACTCATAAAATTTATAAATTTTCGCCAAATTAATAAAAATTATGAAACATGTCCGAAATCTTCTACTATTTCTTTTAAGTTTTATAAACACTAAAATATAAAAAAAAAAACAGAAAGAAAGAAAAATAAACAAATAAAACAAAAAAAGATATAATAAAAAAACATAATAAAATACATAATAAAATACATAATAAAAAAACATAATAAAAAACATAATAAAAAACATAATAAAAAACATAATAAAAAACATAATAAAAAACATAATAAAAAAACATAATAAAAAACATAATAAAAAATATAATAAAAACATAATAAAAAACATAATAAAAAAATATAATAAAAAACATAATAAAAACATAATAAAAAACATAATAAAAAACATAATAAAAAACATAATAAAAAACATAATAAAAAACATAATAAAAAACATAATAAAAAACATAATAAAAAACATAATAAAAAACATAATAAAAAACATAATAAAAAACATAATAAAAAACATAATAAAAAACATAATAAAAAACATAATAAAAAACATAATAAAAAACATAATAAAAAACATAATAAAAAACATAATAAAAAACATAATAAAAAAACATAATAAAAAACATAATAAAAAACATAATAAAAACATAATAAAAAACATAATAAAAAACATAATAAAAAATATAATAAAAAACATAATAAAAAACATAATAAAAAACATAATAAAAAACATAATAAAAAACAAAATATAAATATGAAAAAAATGCCACTAAATACTTTAATACTTACTAGTTTTTTCATAAAAATTATACAAATTTTATAAGTTTTAAAGCAAAATTTTCTTAAAATTTATTATATTTCTATCATTACATTAAAAATAGCTTTATGTTATTTTTTTTTCTTCAAAATATAATAAATTATTTTTATTTAGGACACAACCTTTTAAAAATATAAAAAATACTTCGAATTTTTAAATTGTTAGCAACGTTAAATTTGTAATGGACTATGGTTTAAAAAAAAATGAAATAAGTTTGAATTTTTGAGGTATAACAATTGGAGAATAAATTGAAATAGAAAGAACTGAAAAATATTTATCAGAATATATATCAGGGGCCGGGCCGTATATTTTAACCAAATATTCGAAATCGCCATTATTAGCCGTAAAAGATCAAAAATAAATAAAATATATTTTAAAAAAATCCGGACCGGGCCTGAAAATTTATATTTTCTAAAAACCCGGGCCGGAAAAAATTTTTGAAAAAATCCGGGCCGCGCCTGGCCGGGCCATACAAATGGTATCTCCGCAGGTCTCTAATATATATAATTACATGATCCAACATAACTAAAAAAATAATAAGACTTAAAAATTGAAAGGTAAAAGGTTAAAAGGCTACAAAATAAAAATTAAAAAATGAATTCTTTCCCCAAAAAACTGAAAAGTTGTTTTGTAATATTCACAAAATCTCAATTATATATATATCCTCTTTTTTTTAAAAAAAAAAATAAATAATTTACATAGTTCTGTATACAGAGACGTGAACCCGAACCCTAGTTCAGGAAATTTAAAAATGTTTGGCTGGGCTTTTTGAAACCATAGAACAAACAGAGACCGATTGAAGGACAACTCATTAAACCCGGGGTAAAATGGATCAGGGTAAGGTCGGACCCCTCTTAGGAAATAATCGGTTTTGGTAGTAGTTCCTGTTATCAATCTTGAACCCGGGTTCTGGTTCACATCCCTGGAATATTATATAATATCTACGTAATAATTCTTCTTAATTTGAATAAGACATTTTTTCGTCCAAATAATTACAACCGTTTATTTATGAGAAAGTAAATATATTTATACTATTTGTTTATATATATATTTTATTTTTTTTTGTAAAAAAAAAAGGTATAAATATTCTTCTTCCATTTTTTTTATTTTTTAAAAATATAAAGGAATCAGGTAGATGTCACATACATAAAAGAGTTGAATACTTTGCGGATACCAATTACCATGATGAGAGATCCTAGTTTTACAGCTAAAATGTCGGATTCAGGTAAATACGGAATAATGGGATACAAAATTGCTGCAGAATTGATTGAGGCTTCGGGAATTTTCGGTAACTTACGTATACATTATGTTGGAGCGATTCTGTACCGATCACGAATCTCTGCCTTCTTAATTTTTGGACTCTTCCTTTCTCGAATTAGTACTACATAACCTTAACCTAACCAGGACCTGAACACGATTTTAAAATAAACCCGTTAGCACCGACCTAGGTTAGGAGTTTTAGTTCTTATGATTGATTTCCTTAAAGAAAAAGTAAAACATTAGGTCCCTTTTAACCAGCGATTCAAAACCGAACTTAAACCGAGCCGTTAAACCGGTATTCATCGTTATTATTTACCGGACCTGAACCGTGAAAAAAAATATTTGTCACCCCCCCCCCCCAAAACCTACTAAAAATATGCCTGTGAACCATTTGGATCCTTTTTGGATATTTTATGAGCTCTTATTAAAAATGATTAATAAATCAGTTTCGAATTATAAATATCAGTAATTATATTTTAGACATTTTTGTTATATTGCTATTTGACTGTTGCCAGCTACCCAAGTTAGCGTGTAGAAGCGTTCTCATCTCAGTAATGGAATTTATAAACCCCCCCCCCCCCTTATATGAATTTGACGGAAGAGCTCTAATTTTTACAAAATCATATTTCGTTCCCTTCGATAGATATTTAGGGTGCATTAGTTATTCCATTATTAACCGACTTGGACCGGAAGTCCGCTGTCAGGATGATTTCCATTTTTGTCGAAACCCCGCTAAAATTTTAACCAGATCCAGGAAAACCCTTGATTTTTGACCTTATGAAGATCAAAATAAAATATATTTATTTTTGATGATTTTATCCTGAAGACCTTTTACTCACAGAAACGGCAACCGATTTTTATTGCAAAAATAAATTTGAACTTTTAAATAATTTTAGTCAGGCCCTCACTCAGATTTGGAAAAAAAAAATTCTATATTGATATTACCTATCATTTCATAGAGACTTAGAAAAAAAATATAAAATATTGGATTTCAGCATGGGTCAAAATGTAAAGATTCATTATTCAATTAATCCATATATTTCTAAAAAGTCATTTTAAACAAATTTTCAAGTAAGCTAAAAAAATAATAATAATAATAATTCTTTGATCGTTTTAAATTTTCAAAAAAAAAAATTATTTAAAAACCAAAAGTTTAAAACCAGACCCGAAAAATGTGCAAAATCTTATGAATGTTACATCCTTTTTTTTTCCGAGATGCAATTATCTTCATATTTCCCAGCTTTAAATTAATCCAGTTTGGAATTTAATTTACTAAATCTTTTCTTATTTTTCATATACGTATCATATTTAATTGTTAGTGTTTGACCGAATTTCTAGTATTCGATTTTTAAAAACGGATAGTCGGTTAACAACACTTCAAATTTCGCTCCAGTTTTAGGGTAATATATATTGTATATTTTGGCTAAAATCTTGATTTAGCAAGTTTTAAAAAAAAAACGAAAGGATATGTGAGGTTTTTGATGATACTTAACAATGGTAGACCGTTTAGCAAATGATGAGGGTGACATAATCTAACCTAGGAACTGGGGGGAAGCAGATATAATTTAGAGGGGTCTAATGGCTGGGGAGGAGGGGGGGGGTAGGGTTGAATAATATTAACTTTTTCCACAATAAATCTATCGCGGAATGGATAGATACAGCAGGAATATATTTAACCTAACAAAGAACTAATTCACAAGAGATTGAGGAGTAACTTACGATCTCAAAGTCTCGTTAATTATTACCATATAAAATTTTGATTCACAAAAAGAAAAGAATTAATATAATATAATAAAATAATATAATATTAATCACAGACCCGTTAAATGTATATCAAGATCACGTCGATAATGAGACAAAAGAATTGATGGATTGTGTTAAAGATATCAGAGATGAAGAAATAATGCATGATGAACTACCGACGATTTCTCTAGTTTTATTTCTTTAACAACCACCCCCCCCCCCTTCCATCTTGCGAAAAAAAATATAATTAAAACTTTATAAATAAATAATATTAATGTCGTATCGGTATTAAGGAATCTATTGGTATTCAGAATCTTGCAATTTAATCATTTACAAAGGAGGGGGGGGTTAATTTATCATTTCAAAAAAAAAACATCTGATCTGAAACCGGAAATGCGCACAATTTTTTTTTAAAAAAATTTAAAAATTAAGAGTAGTTTTAAAAGTTGGGAGCATAATTAAGTTTACCACATCATTTATATTAACAAAAAAAAATATAGTGTATTTTTATATTCTCGGCCGCTAATTTGCGCTAAAATGTGAACCAAGGGGTTACCCTGTATTCATAGTTAGCACAAATTAGCGGCAAAATAAATCCCAACGCTTCATTATTCTAATACAGCATTTTATGATATCTATTACTTTATAATAAAAAAAAATTACAGCAGATGATAAGGTTATCAATGTTTACTCAAGGATTAGCCTTGAAATACGCATCTAAAGTTAGTCACGCCAACTTATTCGATTTTATTCTTTCATTCCACTAATTATGTATACCTGTACCTATGATATTGATACTAATCTAGACCAGACGATTTATTATAATTAGATACATTTTAGACGAAAATTTGAAAGGCATTTATAAACGAAATGCCTATCAAATCTCGTATATTACAGCCAAACCGATGATAATGTCATTATGATAGCTATCTTCAAGTGTACGTAACATTTGATAAGTGAATCTTTGGTTTTTTAAATGTTTTGGGAAATCACTGTTTCGTTTAGTTCTCCGTTGAAAAATGGGTATTTGAAATTTGTTGCATTGATATGCGAAAACAATTTTGTCCGTGTGAACTTGTCGTGAAGGTGAAGTTAAATAATATACAAAATTCCTTCAAAAATTTAGGGCCGAGCTCAAAATTTTTGAAGGAATTTTCTAAAACTCATTAAAAATTCCTCCTCCTCCCCCCCCCCGGCTAGGCTCTACCGAGGGCACAGAAAAGTTATTTTGAATTGAAATATGAGGTCATGTGATTTGGGCAATAAATAAGGGGCAAAATAAACTTGACTTGCAAATGGTCATTTCATTATTTATTGTCTTATAAATGATCTGTATGAATTTAACTAAATGCGTTCGATATAATCAATACTTATATATATACATTATAATATTTTTAGATGTTTAAGGGTTTTTCGAACAAAAAGAAATTGATCGGATTTACTAACGAATATCAGGAGTTTTTCACTGTGCATGCGCAGGTTAAATTGAATTCCATATGTTTTTTAAAGAATATTGGATTTTATTAATCGCGTATTGTTTTAGTCACATTGCCTCAATGTCGGTTTCCAAAGCAATCACAGAGATAAGGAACTGGCCAAATATGAGTGAGTGAATAATATTATTACATGTTGTATTCCGTAATTAAATCAACCGATGATTCAACCCGACCCTCTCCGATTATATTTTTTTTTAAATTTCCACTCTTTAGGGTTAGAGGGGAGGGGGGGGTGCACTCTTAGATCTTCTAAGAGTGGTGACAGCCGTTTTAGTAAGCTTTCACTTTTCTCCTAGTTTTTACCTTGGTTTATTGGGGTTGGAGACAAAACACATGAATATTAAAAATAAAATTGACATACCTCCTGTATAAGCCATTATAATAACCAATGTAAACAAGGAGGAAAGTGCATCAAAGTTTACTAAAACAGCTGTCACCACTCTTAGAAGAATTAGGAGTACCCCTAACCCTAAAGGGTGGGAGATATTTAATACCCCAACTCAGCTTACTTCATGAGATATGACCATCTTTAAAAAACGCAATAATTCCAAAAAATACGCTTATATTTAGTTTTCAAATATCTTGAAAAGTAATTAAGCTATAATAAAAACCCAATTTAAAAATTATCAAATAGCGCTAGAATTAACTCTTTAACATTCTAAATAAGTCTATTTACAGTGTTGTGCAAATTTAGTGTTGTTAAAAACCCCGTAAGATTTTAGCTAAAAGTAAGCATCGAAATTTGGCAAATAGATGTCCAAGCATTTCTACCAGCTATGTGTAGAATCTTTAGGCTTACATAATGTTATTTTGGTCATAATTTTAATCGGGCCGTTATATAAAATCAACCCGAAACGAGGCTTTTTAACAACACCATATTCAGATTTAATTCGAAACATTGTAAATAAAATTATTTAATTTGTAAAAAATTTATAATATAAATATAATAATCTTAACAATTTTTTTTGTAAGTCAAACAATTTTATTTTTCAAATAAATTAATAAATGTGGAGATGTTTCCCATCAAATCCTGGTCAACAACTGTACTAAAAAAAACCGGAAAATAGAAAAGCGGAAATAGCTAAAAAATAAAAATTTCTCTTTTTTTCTTACAAATAGACATTGTACTTTCTAATATTTGTACGATATCCTAGACTGTTGCGAGTATAATGAGCCGAGAGTTATTATAATCTTAAATATAGGTAGTATAAGGCTAAAATCGTTAACAAATATCATTTTATAGTTATATATATATATAGTAATTTTTTCCAAATTTTGAAAATAAAAAAGAATAATATTAAAATTCACACCTCCCTGAACCCTAACCCTTATAACTCCAGGCTTAAATTTTTGAAGAAAATAAATATATTTTAAAAAATAATTTTTGCAAGAAATAAAGTAGCTAATATATTTTTGAATGAATTATAAACTTAATTTTATTCAGGTGTAATGTAAAACTCTATATTGAAAAAAAGTAGTTAAAAAAAATGTCTATATAATAAATCCGAGCCGGGGACAAATAATTTGGGGCATTTTGGGATAGATAAATAAAATATTCGTTTTGTGATAGGGCCGGATATATTTTTTTGTAATAGCTGAGACAGGATTAGAAGTTAGAAAAATTAGAATCCTATGCAGATTCTCACTAGTAAACATTAAAAATATTTATTAAGTTTTGTAAGTTAATTTATTATTACACGAATATCTAAGGGAGGGAAATTAAATATTGTGATAAACATATTAATTAAATAATATACATCAGAGACCTGCACCCGACGGTAAACCCGGCCATACCCGGCCCGGGCCTAAAATTTTTGAAAAAAAAAATCCGGGCCGGACCGTACAAATAGTACCTCAGCAGGTCTCTATTATACATTAAATAATTGAATGAAATTAGAATAAAATTTGACTTTCATTTTTCCTTCCATTGGAATAAAATGCGGATTATTTTTGTGTCCCGCGAATTAGTTTGGCCCTTAAAAAAAATGATATATTTTCGAGATTGGTTTCCATGCTTAAATATTCAACATTGCTGCAAATTATATAATTAATCCTCTGGGATATTAATTCTAGCATAATTATACAATTCCATAAGGTGTTAGTAATATCACTTTCAATAAGGACGTTGCAGGTTTGCTCTAGCCGCTAACATCTTTTAGTAATTTACCCGCTAAACTATGGCGAACAGTTTTGTCATGGGCAGTTGCAAAAAGAATGCCATTTTTGCCTTGATCCCAAAATTATTATAATTGGTTTTATAGGTTTTTTATCCGATCCTTATGTGGGGTGAAGAGATTTATTGAGCCCACTTTTTATTATCATAGTCAATTACTTTTTTTACAAAATCTTATCATTTATTCCTTTAGAATGCTTACAAATGAAGGCGTTTTAAGTTATACAACACAATTTAGCAAATGTTATTTTGCGCTTTTTAATATTTAAAAAAGTCAAAATAATCGGATATTTTTTAGGATTTTAGTTTAATGCTATTAAAATTAATATATATTTAATATAATACAGGATTTAAGTCAATACTACTTATATTTAAAAGTGTTTTAACTCTTGGCCCTATACTAGTCTCAGTTTAGGATTTTGTAGTACAAATATTAGGAAGAATAATGTCTATCCGTTAAAAAAAAGAGCAATTTTTTTATTTTATAGCTTATTTCCGGTTTTTGATAATAGATTTATATTCAATAAAATAAATTTTATACCATATCTTAAAGTGGTAATTCTAAAGCTATTTAATAAAATTTAAATTATGACTTTTAGGTTATATTACTTTTTGAGATAATTTAAAAAATTGATGTACCGTATTTTAGAATTTTCGCGTTTTCTAAAGATGACCCTTTCCCGTGAAGTGAACCTATTTTAAAAGTAAAAATTTTCACATTTTTTTTATTAGTTGAGTGCCTGCATATACTACCAATTATTGTTGTTTTTAAGAAGGGCGAAATCACTATTTTTTTCCAGAATAATATTACCCAAGTTCTGAAGATTTTGCTCAGAGAAGGAACAAAGGTCTAGACATCAATTAGCCAAAGCTCGAGGCTTAGACATTATTTTTCCTGGATAAAATAATGAGTTAGCCGTTTTTAAAAATCGGCTCAAAATGAGCCGTTTAACAACTCTACTACCAACATACAAATTTTTTAAAAATAATATCGAAGTTAGTCGTCGACTCTTTTTGGTTGATTTAATATCTAATACAAAAGCATACATTTTATTTTTATTTAGTATTAAAGCGATTTTTTAAAAGTAACACCTTCTTTTAAATAACGAATTTTAATCAGTATTATCTTTCAATCCAAATAGTGTCCAAAAAAATGGCAGTATTTTATCTATGTATCTTCAAAGAATACTATAACTATAAATTAAAGAAAATAAGAAGGTCCAATTTAGATAACGAAAGTCCGATCAAAATAAACGAAAATTCTTGATCTAAATACAAGATCATTTTTATTTATTTTTTTTAGCATTTAAAATACTAAATATTCTTTAAATTATTCAAATAAATGCTAAATACGAAAAGAAAAGGTTTTAGCAATTTAGATTATATTCACGATACTGTCCTACCCTGTCAATACTCTACTGTAAAACACTGTCTCTACTCTAAGTATTTTCTAAAGTTCGTTTAATCGCTGAACAAGAGTTAGGTTGTTCTTTAGATAAATATTATCTTTTCTATTCATTTCAGGTGGAGTGTTTAAATTAAATGTATGGGATCAAAAAAAAGTTTAACAACACCCGACCGCAGCAGATACCAAATTTTATATAAAAAAATAAAAATTCATTTACTAATACCCTGTCCTAGCTCAATAAATTTCGCCGCGAATTTTCTGGCCGAATTTGTAAATTAATGTAATTTAGAGGCTAATTTTTCCCTATTAACTTGGTTAGGGTATCATTGAACCGTATTATAACATATAATTCTTTCATTTAGGGAAAAAATCTGCAGCCAATTCCAGCGAGTTAGAATGTATAAAATTTAATCAACCGGTCAAAAAACTGACTATTTTATAAAAGACAGAATCTCCTAAGAAGGAAAATCCGACCTCGATCAACTACATCTCAAATTTACGATAATCTAAAATAATATATTTTTTTTCTCATAAATCAAAGACTCAATCAAATGCTAAGGCACAATACAGAGTATCAGGAAGCCTTCGGGTGCAAACGTGGCGACAATATGGTGGCCGATAAAATATGCGAATTTTTTCCCCTGAGCTAGAATCAAAATAATCGAGCCTAATCAAATATATAATTAGATATTACAAATTCAATTATATTCACTCTAAATTTTTATTTACTAATAGGCCACCCCTAGTTAAACTAACTCGTAATAATCCATCGTGTCAAATACGAAATTTACCATTTATCTTTTTTTTTTAAAAAACATTATAACAAAACGAACCCCTAGAAATATAAAATTTATTTACAATATCTTTTTTATCTAATTATTATACGATATAAAATATATAATATAATAGATTTATATATTTTAAATTTTACAAAAATATTATTTTATTATATTATTCCGTTGAATTATAATGTACCTAATTGTTTAAGCTAAATGTATCACATTTATCATGTCAAAAAATAATTTAAACTTTAAAAAAAAAATCACCGAGCTATACAAAAAAATAAATTAATTAATATTTAAAATTACAACAATATATTTGATTAACATTTGCAATTGCAAGAGCTAATGGAATTTTTGGGTTCTTGAACAAGTTAAAATATAAATATTAAATTTCGATTTAAAACCATAAACAGGTCAGGATTAAAAAAAATTAAGGTATTTATAATTGCATAAGTTATACCCCCCCCCCACCCCTATGCATTCCATGCTTGCTTGCTTGCACATTGGGCGATATAGACTCGTATATCCTATAAATCAACCAATCGATCATCAATCATTTTTGGATTAGACTTTTACGGGTCTCCGGGATTGGTGAGCGTAAAAACCAAGTCCGACCAATGAGCGCTCGTAATTTTATCTAATTCGGCCTTATCCTTGAGCATTACGTAACCCTGGAAAACTGATTGCTCCACCGTGAGTCCTAGGGAAGATATAGGAGAGGAACGGGACGCGTCTTTGAATAAGTACACCTTGAAGTTTTGAAGGCCCAAAAGTGTTAATTGTTGCTTATTACAGAAAAAAAAATATAAGTATATATAATTTAAAATAGTGTCATTTTTAGATTAAATAATATATTTGTTCGCGATGCTACCCATAAATTTATTTAGCCAAAAATTTAACTTAAATATGCTTAAAAATGATAAAAATATTATTTTTTTAAACTCATAAAGGTATGTCCGAAGCAAATTTAGTCTCTAATATCTTTATGCAAAGATGACAATGTTAAGATAAATAATAATTAATAGTTTAAAAATACATTATGTAATTATAAATATAAAGAAGGAAAAACGTACATCCAATTCTTGGGAACATAATATTTTACGTTGGCTGTTGGTGTGGAAGAGAAGAATGTGACAATTTTTTGAGCTTAAATTTCGCTTATGGAATTCTAAGGGATTTGTGTACTTACTTTTTCGAATATTTTTGAGCCATTGAGTTCTTAATAAGTGATATTTTTTTTTTACAAACATTTGTTTAAAATTTATTATAAATAGATACAACTAAATAAAACAAAAAATTATATATTTATTATCATTAAGATAAAACTTTGTCAAGATGTCAAGCGATTTTATCGTTTCTAACGCCTCTTTTATATTTTTGCCCATCTTTTTAGAATGATGCCTGTTGCGATGTTTTGTTAATTTGATAGGCTCATTTATGTCAGCAATATTGTGTGTCGCTTCGTAAATGGGGTTTTCTTTGTTCGTTCTACCTTTTGGACTATATATCTGATGCACTTTATTAAAGTTTTGATCTAAAAGGTTAGCATGATGTCCTTGCTCTTCGTGATACATTTCTTTGTCGTAAAGTCTAGGCTTCTTTCTTCTGTGCTTATAATAGTGATTTTGAGAATCTACCACATTCGAATGATTTAGATTAACATTGCTTTTTGAATTGGGTTTTGGGCTGTTTATTGGTAAAGGCTTTTTAAGATGGTTGATGTGATTATTTATTTGATAATTTGTTCCAAATTTGAATTCCTTGTTGTTCATTGTTAACCTAGCCTTTTTATTGATTTGAACATAATCCTTCTTGAAATATTCTTTTTGGTTATGAATTGAATTGTCATATTCAGGGCAATCATGTCTTTGTCTTTTAACTGACAAAGTTAATAATTTTTCAGAATGAGTATATGAATTAATGGCCTTGGAGATAAAATCTTCGGTGACATTAACTTCTTGGCTTAAGTTATTTCTTTTGGTATTACTAGACTTAAATTGATCGTCATTTTCAGATTTTATATCTTGATTTATATTATTTGATAATTGAGGTTTATGTGTCTGGTCTTTTATATCATGAGTTTTTCTTTTAAATTCATAAACCCCATCTTTTTTAAACTGAAATTTATAAATGATATATCACTAATATTCTATATTATTTACTTTTAATAGTTGTTTGATTGATATATCGGATTCAAATATAATATAAGCATGTTTTATATCATTTGTATTTATTTTCTTAATATCAAATGAATCATTAATATTTTCTTTTTTAATGATTTTAACATATAGAACAGTGCCAAAATAAGAAAACCAATCTTTAATCAAATCGATATCTATAATTTTTGAGCTAGCAAAAGTTCTCTAAAATACATATAGTAACTAAATCAAATAGAGTTAAATACTATAAATATTGTTCTTAGATCTTCATCATAGGATTTTATATTAAGCTTATCAGATAAATATATTCCCTTGTTTAACAAAAAGTCTGGATGTAATTTAAAATATGTTTTATCATCATTTAACTAAATTATGAATGTATATAAAAAGGATTGTAAGTAAACTATATACCTCAAATTTATTTGATCTAATTATGGCTCTAATAACATCTTGTATATTCTTAGTAAGATTGGTAACTTTGTTAAAGTTTAGTAACTCTGAGATATTGATGCCTATAAGTATATAAAGTTAATATATATTAAAGGTAAACAAACTATTATTTAATGAAGGTCCTAAAAGATTTCTTAAATATTTGTCACGTCTTAAATTTGTTTCACTAAAATAAAATTCAATCTATAATATGACATAATATATGAAATATTAATACAATATATTATTTTTAACTTGATTTTTTAGTTTTTTAATATTGACAGGCATAAAACTCTTTAAAAAAAATTCAAATTACATATGTTAATAACATTTAACTCATCGTGTAAAATATGATGACAGATATTTATAATCAGCTAGGAAGCCAAAAAAAAATATAATTATGATAAGAACAGTAATCTTTTGTATATTTTCAAAAATACAATATATTATAAATAGATATTTAAAATAACAAATATAAATATATTCATTATTATGATTATATTAATATCACAAATTTAATACCACCGATATCTATACAAATTAAAATAAATATGGATGGAAATAATTTTAGAAAAAATTCTATTCTTGGTTATTTGAGCAGTATTTTTTTTAAAATATATTTCATTCGATATACGACGATTCTTTTTCTATATTTTGATATATGAATCTGGAATCCTCCGTTCCCCATTTAATCGATATAAATACAACAAAATGGCCCTACACCTGATTCATATATATGATTTACTAAGAATTAAGTTGATCCTATTTGATGATTTGTGTAAAAGTGCTAAAATAATTGTTTATTTCAAATAGAAGAAATATATAACAATGATAATTTTTATCAGATTGTGATGATATATATGGTATTACATTAATTAGAACATTTGAATAATAAGGAAATGTAAAAACAATAAAAATAACAAAAAAGTAAATTGATTGATTAAAACATATTAACGATAATAAACATATTCGAAATAAATAACACATTCGTAACATTATATATACAGGTTAAAAAAGATCATTAGTTTATTTTAAAATATTTTATTAAGAAAAAAGTTGGTCACATATTCCCTTAGATCCACTCATTATTTTATTTAATATTTGCAAAGGATAGTACAGACAGAGATATTACTTTAAATTTTTAGTTTTCGTGTTGGTGATAATAATAATAATAGAATTTTAATTTAAAAAAAATTATTATAGGCTAGAAAGTATTAAATTCAGATTATGGATATAGTATATTTTAAAATATTTAATATAGATTTCTATTATTATGAACCAATTATAATTGTTAATATTAGAAGTATTGAAAAATATCTATGAAAGTTCTACTCACAGAGGGGGTATATTATCACCAAGGAATCTAATATTATTTTTTCTATATTTATTTAATTAACTCACTGAGGGAGTAAATATTGTTATTTAGCTACTTTCATTTTTAATATATTCATTCTATTTAATATTTTAGGGGTATATATTATCAGCAAGAAATTGAATATAATTTTTCTTATATTTATTTTTTTTACTAACTGAGGGCACAATCTTATCACCAAGGAAGCAAATTTGATTAATAAGTAGGTAAATATATTTTATTCGCTATAGATGCCATTTAACCACTTCAAAATTTATTACTAAATGGATAAAAATCATTTATTCTTTGATATTTAGGTAAATATCAAATTTATAAATACTATTTATCTACACAATGGGCAATTATCAATCATTTTATTTATATTCACACCCTGAGGGGGTAAGCTATCCTACCCTTTTTGCACAAAAAATGAAACAATCAAACGTAGTTGAGGCAACATTCGATCAAAACGATGAATTATATTGCTCTCACGGTCCAACTTTGAAATTTCTTAGGAAAAGTGATGGGGAAGAAAAATATTTTTATTCATGCTCCGCTTATAGAAGTAGAAAAGAGTGTGCCTTTTTTAAGTGGTCTACAGATAAAGTTGCTTCAAATAATATAAATATATATTATAGTTTATTTAAGATCTCAAATCAATATAAAGGCCGTTGGCTTGATGACTACAGAACTTTTAAAAAATTAGGCATTCCACATAATAAAAGGTTTAAATTATATCAAAATATGTTAAAAAATGGATCTAAAGCTTATAAAATATGTAATACATGTAACATTATAATTGGGCATGATCAAAATATTCATATTAAACATGTTACTAAACCAACATGTACAATAAATGAAACTAAAATAAATGATAATAAATCGATATCAACTTTGATACCCATTCAACAAGACAAAAAAGAAGCTCAATATCATTTTTCTCAAGAAACAATCAAATTTATTGAACATATTATAAATAAAATAGGTTTTAAAAAAGTAGTTTTATTATTTATCAAATTTAATTTGTTAGATTTTATGTGTAGGAGTTCCAAAAATGTTTGAGCATTTATACAATGTTCGAAAAAAACTAAATATCTCTTTATTCTTATTAGATATTGATCCAAGGTTGACCTATTTTTGGAATGCAAACCATTTTGCTCACTATAATTTTTGCAATAATCATTTCTTCAATCCAAAAGGAAGGTAAATTTAATAATAATTTGTAACATGTTTAAAATGCGATTAGAGTTTATTATGAAAATTTTTTAATGAATAACTGCAACATAAAAAATGATGACCCTTTATTAATAATAATGGACCCACCTTTTGGTGTATTAATAGAAGTTCTTGCTAATTCTTTAGACTTTATTATAAAAAATGCAAAAAAAGTTATACTTACAAACAATTATACTTCAATGGGGAATGACATGCATATTCTATTGGCAAACCCATATTACATGAAAAATTATATATCAAAATATATGAAAAACCTGGAAATGCTGGAGTTTAAAGTTAATTTTAAAAAAAAATGTATTAATTTAATTAATTCACCATTATAGGTAACATATGACAATCACAAAAAGAATGGAATGAATGACATACTTAAATCACCAATCCGTCTATTTACATCTATACCTTTATCTGAAATATCTCTAACTCCTGACCTTTTACTCAACTACAAGTTTTATTTTTTAGTAATCTTTATCTGATCCTAAATATTTTGAAATTTATATACTAGTTGAGGACTTTGGGGTTCTGGTTTGATTTTTAATTTTTTTACAAAATTATAATTAAATTATTATGCTTTTCCCTTTATCTACTATAGTATATTAGATTAAATGATTGCACTGAAAATTTTTTTTTGAATGTCATAACTACAATATTACATTATTCATTCTATTATTTAAACTTATAAAGCCAACTAAGCTAATCCCATTCTGTTTTTTTGGGGGGAACAAGGATTGTGATCTTGGACAAATCTCTCCCACATTAAACATGAAGAATATTAATTAAACAGTTTAATAAAAATTTTTATTAAGATTTTTTGCCGAGCAAAAATCTTTGAGGATTAACATTAAAGATCTGTAATTCTGGGTAAAATTTGATCAAAAATCTTGGATTACCATAACTCAAAAAAAAATATTCATTTTTCTAATAGAAAGTGACACGATTATCCCCAATTTCTCAACCGTCTAAATTAATTAACCTTTCCTCTAGTTCAGATTTTTTTTCTCCTTCAATGCAATTAGAGCCATTATTTTAAAAGCTTTAATTATAGTCAAAACAAAACTAGCATTAATAAACATACTAAAGAGTTCCAATTCTGGAATATTTTAGGATAATAAAAAACCTATAAAATTAGAAAAATTTGGCCCAAGAGGGCCCCAAAGTCTGATAGCCAATATATTTTTAAATTTAGGCCCTGCCTTTTGTGGTCGGCTGCCTGATTTTATTTTAAAGAACCCATGGAGTGGAAAAATATTTATTTTATTTTCTATTTTAATTGTTATGGCAATATTTTTGATAATTTGGATAATTTTTATATATAAGATGAAAATGGAAATATTAAATATTTCCCACATTAAAAAATAACTCATTTTATATAATTTTGAAAATATATTTGATTAGGCATCAAGGGAAGAGTAGAAAATCTTTACATTAATATTTTTTGGGGTGGGTCTGACTCACCAACTAAATTAAACCGCGACTACCATTTTTAATTATTTTTTATAAAAAAACAGAATCTGCGATAAATGTAACAAGATGGTGTGCAGGGCCACCTGGCATTGTCAAATATGCCGAACTTGTCCCATTAATATCAGCTCCACCAAACAATACAAACATTGCCATGCTCCATCTTGCGACACTTGCGTTAAACCTAGTTTCGTTCATTGTGCCGCTTGCGACAAATGTCACCCTCCTGTCTCGACCTGCTGTCCTTTAAAAAACATCGACTCTCAGAAAAACAAAAAGCCAAGATTATATCGAATAAACTGACCACATTTTTTTTTGTTAATTTGTTAAAAAAAAACAATTTTTGTATAATAATGTGTAATGTCTGAATAATTATTTGTTCATTGTAATTTTTTCAAATTTCAATCTAAAAATGATTGACAATCATAAAATACGTATTTAATAAATCTGCTAGAAAAATTATTTGACATTCAGGGATTTTGCATTGATTTTTCTACTTCATTCATCCAACTCATGTTGAGATGTAAGATCCACTTTTGTTCCCAATTTTATTATAATAAATTTTGTTGGAAGACTATGTAGGTAGTTTTATGATCAGTGGAGAAATTGGTAAATGACTGACAGGCGTGTACGCAGGAATTTGGTCTGGGGGGGGATAATAAATTTTTTAAAGAAATATTATTGTTATTTAAAAATATCAAGCATAAATTTATTAGGACTAATAACTAGTTCTAATACACAATTTTAAATTATATGAATTATAAAAAAATTATATATATAAACCGGCGTATAAAAAACTATAAAATAAATGTGAATTAAAAAATATAAAGTGAATATAACCACCATATGAATCACTTAAATGACCCAAAATAGAAATTTGAAATTTTTGAGCCTTTAAAATTTATATATAAAGTAAAAAAAATTAATGTTAGAATTATAAATATTAATATACAAAAAGTTTCTTAGGAATGATTGTATTTTGTATTATACAATGTAAAATCCAATCTTTGTTGGGATTGAGCTAATTTTTCAATTACTCATCCTTGCTTGGCAAAGATCCAAACCATTCAATCCACTTTCAGAAGTTGTACTTCTTAGGTATGATTTCAGAGAACTGCAGGCCCGGTTCCCGGGTTGGATCGTATTTTAATTTTTTAAATACACCCAGGCAAGGCCCGAAATATTTTAAAAAATTATTATCCGGGCTCGGCTATATATTTTAAAACCAAATATTTTAAATTAGCTATAAAAATCAAAAATAAATATAATTTCTTTAAAAAAAAACCCGGGCCGGGCCGAAAATAAATTTTGAAAAAAATCCAGGCCATGCCCTGCAAATTGTATCTCTGCAGGGCTGTTATTCTTCTTAAAAAAGAGAATATTCTCTCATTAGTTTACTAATGGGAAGAGTTGCTAATATATATATATATAATCATTTTAATACATTGGGAATAAAATCTAAAATGTGTTTAAAATTATACAAATCATCCATAGCATTTTTTGAGACTATATCTTAGTTAATCTTTTAAACATAGTTATTCAGTTAATAAGGCATCAAACAAATATTATTTTTCTTCTATCACCATCTGAAAAAGATTGGGAAGGCTTTTGTGGAAGTAATATCTGCAGATTGGTAAGTGCTGCATGATAAATTAAAAACCATTCATTTATTTGGATAATAGTTTTATAATACTTTTCTACTGATCCTATACTAATGTTTTGACGATGAGCTTGCCTTGCTGCAAATCGAGTGAGACAAATATTAAACAGGTATAGCTCTCCTTTTGACTCAACGATAACATATAAAATTGAAATTCTTCATCAACATTAGCCCTAAAATCCTTGAGTTCTAATAAAATGCTCTTGGCTATTCTCATCTTAATCAAGTCAATGTCATATTTTTGAAAAGTATTACATAAAATAGTTGTATAATTAAATAATACATTCTAATGAGAAAAAAAATTGAAATAAGTATTAAATCCAATAATTTTCTTGCTTCTGAGGAAATATTTCTTTCAGGCCATTGTGATATTTCAGTAATAGCATTAATAATCGGTTCTTCAACTATATAAAAGCTGTTACTGCTTGATGGCGGAGAGTCCATCTCGTTGGAGCTTGCACTTTCTTTCTCCCTGTTGGACAAGGAGTTTCATAAAAATTATTATTTGACTAGAAATATGAAAATGGTAGAAAAATAATACGCCACTAGAAATTTGAAAATAATAGGTAAATATTAAGCCAATGAAAACTTGAAATCGAAATTAATTGATAAATAACTAATAGATTAATGTGATAAATAAATATACATTTAATATGAGATAGGATAAATATTAACAAATATAAATTAATATAAACATTAATATTTGAAAATCCGGCATCTGCATTTTTTGCCTTGGGGGGGGGGGGGTTTAAAATACATTTACGTCTGTTATTGAGTGAAGAAAAAAACTAGTTGTTTTGATTACATTTTGAAGGGGAGGAGGTGTGTGAATAATTAAGGTAATGAGTTGTGATAATTATCATCAAACGTTATTGGGATTTTTTAAAATATGTGTCTATAATGTTAGATATGACTAATTTGAAATATTCGTCCTCTAGTTGATTCTACTAGTTCATAGAACTATTCGTCCTATAGTCGACTCAAGTATATAGACATGAGTTTACGACTCGAGTCGACTTGAATAAGTCGACTAACGACTAGAGACTGAGTCTTTTTAACAACACTATAAAAGATCATTGTTTTAGAGTTATGCGTGGCGCAAAGGTTAGATGCCTTGCTTGAGAAACGGTACAACTTTCGATCTCATATCAAGACAGACATTTTGAAAATAACCTCTTCGAAAGGGTGATAGGATTAAAGGCTATATTGATGTCGGGTTACGGTGAATATATTAAAAATGGGTCTTAACGCATAAATAAAATTTTGGGCGCTGATTAATAAATTGACGACATATACATATATAATTATCGTTTATTATATCAGGTATTAAATTTAGGTTTTACTCGGATCACGAATGAGGTAAAAAATTTTTTTGCAAAGAAACTCCCATGGTAGCTACAAATACGCGATGTACACGCGTTCAAATACGCTTTACTTGGTACCGGATGAACCCCCCTTTTTATCGTGTTTCAAGCACGTTCCACTTAAGAATAAATTTATTCAATGATTATAAAACACAGGATGTTTATAATGCGTCTTTTTTTTTACTGCTATAATATAATTTACTATAATGGAATCGTTGTTGAAGACTGATTACTAATTTACTATAATGGAATCGTTGTTGAAGACTGATTACTTGTAATTAGATTATTTTGATAAACTAAGGAGCGACGTAATATATTCCTCGAATTACTATAGTGAGGAGTGATGCACCCCCATGAGATATACTCCTATTTCATTTTGATGTACTCTCCTTGTTTACCTTGGTTATTGGGGTTAGAGACAATGAATATGAATCTTACACTAACCTAGACTAAAATATATAATAAATGATAAATAAATCTAAAGTGTTTTTTTTAAAAAAATACTTATTATCTTTAAAGTTGGGGTTGGGTTTATATAAAAAACTCATTTATGGATATCTTCGACAAATATATTCAAGTTTAGAAATTTTTTAAAAATTTACTTTGAGAAATCTCAAAGCACTGGCAGGCACCAATATCCTTTACAATCTCAGGGGGCCCATAAATTATTTTTTTTAAAGTTTCTAAGAAGAAAATACCCACCCTTTTAAAAAGTGGTCGCTTTTTATGGGTATTTATAAAGGGGGTTGCTTGAGGCCATATGCTCCTCCCGTAGTCACGTTACTGATTCTTTCTATATCTTGATATAAATAAAGAGAAGGAATTTTCCTCTGACAACATTACCAGGGTACGATTATCTTACCCTATATTGATGAACCATATTTAAAGCCTCTAAGACCGAGGATAAATTTCATGGTAGCTGGTGATAACTAAATTTGCATTTTCAACCGCTAAGTTAAACTTAAAAAAAATAGATGTGCTATAACATCGTATAAATGGCGCTTCAATTTAGGTTATCAATAAATGAAAGATTAGAATCAAACTCAAAGTTAACTTTCGATCTCGGTAATGCAAATATAAAACAACCTTTCAACCTTTATATCTTCTTTAATGTTGTTAAACTGCTCGTTTTGAGCCTTAAGAACGGCTAACTCAATATTTTCGCCAGAAAAATATTGATTAGGCCTCGAAATTTCGATACTATATGTCTAGACCTTTACTACTTCTATGAACAAAATTTCCAGGGTTGCGTAATATTTTTCTATATAAAATACCGAGTTAGCCGTTTTTAAAAATCGGCTCAAAACGAGCCGTTTAACAACACTATTCTTCTAAAAGGAGTTGATCATATAAAATTAAACCACCACGAATATATTAAGATACTTTTTTTCATATGTCTGTGGCTATAAAAAAATTTTCGCGCATTTATTAAAAATAACGGCATCATATTTGAGAAAACTTTCAGGGTTAAACAAAAAAAAAACGGGGCTTCGACATTATATCAAACACCCTATCAACCTCGCCCTTAAGCCAAAAAAAAGGGGGAATTGAATTCTACTTAGAGAAAGAAAAACTTAAACTTTAAATCAAACTATATAAACTAAGCTTCAAACCTAGAGATTAAGTCGAATGGAATGGGTTACACACTTGAAGTTAATCTTAAAGAACTTACGAGATTTAAACTAAAAATAAATAGATTTCAACTTAGCCAATATGTGTAATTACAAAAAATTATTTGAAATATAAGGGTAAGCATGCTATACGTCGCGGAACATATTAACCCGCTAACCAAGATTTATATAAAAGAATAACAAAAAATAAATTATTAAATAGCTGGAAAGTAGCATAATATTTTGTCTAGAAAAATTATTGTTTTAAAAAAAAATCTGATTTTTTTGGACCTATAATCTATTCTAGTATATGTGTAGAATTACTAATCCATCCCACAAATTTCCTACAATTTGATCATGAAATACCTCCACGAATATGGCCATTATTTTATTTTGTACATTTCCCCCGTGTAAGTAATATATATATATATATATATATATAAAATATTCTTTTACGCTTTTCTAATATAAAATGAGTTTAATCATTTGTTTTTTTATTGGGATACACTTTGAGGTCTGTAAATGTCGGAGAGCATTTTATTGATAGCGTAGAAAAAGCTTTGCGTAAATTTGGCCTTTTTTTCGTCTTTTCCTTTCTTCCTATCATCCAAAAATACCGAGGGTTTTATGAGAAACTCTTGTTTTGTTCCATCTAATTTCGTGATGATTCCTCTTTATATATACATACATATATATTTTAAAAAAATAAATAAATGAAATATACAAAATATACAGAGACAGTCAGTTTAGAA